ATTGGGGGACAGTTATCAGCCTCCCTGGCCTCTGCTCACCGGATGGCAGTGGCGTGCACCTGCCCACACACCCAGGACATTCCTAGTTGGACAACCGAAAATCTCCCCAGACACTGCCCAGCGGCCCCCGGGGGAGAAACCACTCCTGGTTGCGAACCCCACTTCACACAAACTCTCTCACGCAGTCCTCACCCCCACCCTATAAGAGCAGCCCTGATGACCCTGTTATTGTCACCTTTGTACAGTCGGGGAAACTGAGGCCCAGTGTCAAAAAGAAACTTATCCCAAATGATGGCTTTTGTTTGTTTTGTTTTGTCATTTTGGCCAAATCGGGCTTGCCTGCCCAGCAACCATCACGGACAGCTGTGGACCAGGCAGGTGTGTGGAGGTGACCAGGGCTCAGGGGGGAGCTGGGCTGAAGGTCGAATCTGCAGTTGGGAGCCTCTGGTGTCTGGGTGGGTTATTTCTGTGGAGCTGAGGTTGGACCCAGGGCCTCGAGCATGTGGCAATGCCCTACCACAAGCACCCCCAGCCCCTGGAGGGGACCGTCGGCAGGGGACCGGCTGAGGTGGCCCTAGGAGAATGTAACATCCCTTTTTCTCTGAAGGACTCCATCCCCCTGTGGGCTGTGCCGTCCCCTCTGAATCACTCCTGTAGGCAAATCCAGGAGGTCACCCTCCTGTGACCGCTCCTCCCCCCAGCTCCTGCCCCTCCCCCCTGCCTTCCCTTCCCTGATGACACAAAGCAAAACACACAGGCGCAGCCTCAGAGAGAGAGGAGCCCGGCCGCCGATGCTGACAAGTGAAACGCCCCATAAGACAAAGGTCTCTTCTCACCCAGCAGTGGTCCTGCTCAGTGGGGGTGCGGATGCCAGAACAGCCCCACCAGGGGACAGGCGAGTGAGTGACGGCGGCGTCCACCAAGAGGATGGTCAACCCTGGGCTTCACCGTGAACATTTTTCACTGACGTAACTTCAGAAGAATTGCAAGAACGATACAAAGAATTCCCAGATGCCCTTCCTCGGCGTCACCCAGATTCCCCAATACTGACACCTCACTCTGCCCTCCCCTCCCCCTCCTCCCCTTCTCTCCCTTCTCCCTCTATGCCACTATGTAGTTTATTTATATTGTGCGTATTGTTATATCTCACATATTTCGTATATTATATATTTTATTGGTAGCCACACCGCTTGCTATGAAGTTGCGGTCACGAGGCCTTTTCCCATGACTTCCAGGTGCACACGCCCAGGGTGAGTGGGACTCTCTTATGGAAACGCAGTCAGTGATCACAAGCAGGAAGTCAACGTGGATGCAGTAGATCATGGATTTTCCTGGGTCTGTCCTGGGGTTTTAGGGAAGGAAAATCCCAGATCGTGTGTGTGACCCAGTCATAGGGTCCCTTTGGTTTCTCTTGCCTTGGAAGTTGCTCGGTCTTGCATGGCGTGACCTTGACCTTCCTGGGGAGCCCCTGCCAGTCATTTCATAGACCTGGAGTCCGGGCTCGGCTGACGCTCCCTCCTGATTAGACTGGGGTTGGGCTGGCGTTGGCAGACCCCTTCCCTTCCCTCCGCCTACAAGGCTGGTCTCTTGGCCTTTTAAGCTTCTCTTCTCCTCCCCCTCCCCCAGTGTCACTTCCAATGTCACCTCTTCCAAAGAGCCTTCGCTGGCCACCCTCTCTGGAGCAGGTCTGCTCTGTGACGCAGCCTGCCTACTTCCTTACCTGTGATCGTGTTGACACACGCCATTTGCGTGGCCTGGAGTCCCTTTCTGTTAAGTGAGCACCGTGAGCAGCTTCCTTCCCTGCCTTGTTCTCTGCCTCTGTCCCGCCACCCAACACGGTGCCTGGCATATAGTAGGTGCTCAAGAAATGTTTGTTGAACAAGTGAATAATGAGAGTGAATAAAATCAGGGGGTAGAATAAAATAGATGATATCAGTAGGATCCCATTTTTCTGGGGGGGGAACATGCCTATGATTATACATCTATTAGGGATGGACTAGAAAGATATGGTTCAAAGTAGAAGAGTCTTTGGGAGAAGAAGAGGAGAAGGGCAGTTGTTTTTTATTTTTCTCTCTTTAACCTTAGGTAGTTCTTTACTGCTGAATTTTTTACAAGGAGCTTGTATCGTCTTTGTAATGATGGATTCTCTATGGGACCACCAGCTCCCATCCCCCTCCCTCCAGAGCCTCTCTTGATAGTTTCCTGCACGTTCTTGGCAACTGTTCCTCCATGAGGGGCAGAACTGGCGCATCCTGAGGGCAGGGGCGCCCACCCTCCTCCGTCCTGGGCACCCTCCCACCCCTCTCTCCCCAGAGTCTGTGGCTGAATCAGTACGTGGCTGTGTGAACCGGACCCTGGATCCAAGGCCAGTGTGCTGGGCCTCCTTCTGCAAACATCCTGGGCAGCTCACACCCCAGGCCACAGACCCCAGCCCTCTGCTGGCGGCCCCCTCGCGAACCTTCCACCTGGCACACTCCTACTCGCCTCTCAGGACCCAGGTCAGGCCGCCGCCTCTGGGAAGCCTTCCCAGCTCCAAGGGCACTGGCGCCGTCCGCTGCCTCCCTCTCTGCTCGGACGCGGACCTGGTTGGAACCTGCAGCGGGGTCCCCACCAATCAGAGCCCCTGTGTTCCTCTGAGTCCTAGGGTCCAACCCAGCACCTAGGAGGCTGCAGGAGTCCTGTGTCTTCTGCCAGCGTCCACGAAACTGTAACAGGGTGAAATCAGCAAGGCCTGGACACACCTGGACACACCTGGACATAAATAAAGTACTTCAGTTGACTCTCAGGGAAAGCCTCCAGAGTCCCCTCCAGGCCAGCTTGGCAGGTCAGCGACCGTTCACATCATAAGCTCAAAACCCCGCGTCAGAACATGGCAACTGCCCCAAAAAACAAACCTGCGACCTGTGAAGAGGGACAGTGACCCTCTCCACCTGCACGTGAGAACCCTGGGACCCCTCCTCCATCCAGCCAGGGAGCGGCTTCTCCCCGTCCTCCCTGGGAATCCCCCACCCCCTGGAGAGGCCCAGTTGGGCTGGTTTTCCTCGACCTCTGGCCTCCCCCTGCCCGTCGACCATGCTCGATAGCTTTTCCTTTTTGCATAACCCTGGTGCCAAGGTATTGGCCTCTATGCACATCAGGCGGCGAGCCCACCCTGGGTACCCAGGACACCCTAGCCTGGAGGAACAGGGGCTCCCAGCCCTCCCAGAACCCACCACAGCGGCAGCACAGCACCCACCTATTGAACCCTGGGGTGTGGCCCTGGGATGTGGCCCCAGGGTTCAATAAGTGTGACCAAGTAAAAGGACAAATGTGCTTGGATTGGGGTACAGCTGTGAGTCAAAGGGGTGGGGGGAGAAGGCGGAGCTGAAGTCACCCTGAGAAAGCCACCCGGGAATTCTGCAGGGCTCTGGGGCCAGAGGAAGTCCCTGCGGGAAGGCCTGCTCCTTCCTCCCCTCGCAGGGAGGTCTGGTCCCCGTGGGCCGGGCAGTTGCCAGGGCAACTCTGCTTTGTTGCTGGTTGTACCAAAACATGCAGAGTCCTGACCTCTCTACCCGCCGTCCCTGGGGGGGGGTTTGCAGCAAGAGATGGAGGACAAGGTCACGTCTACACGTGGGAAAGGAGCGGGCTTGCTTCTGCTTGCTGTAAAAGAAGATGCCCCACACTCAGCACTCCTCGGCTGCTACGGGCACCCCACTTCCTCCCAGCCTCTCCCAGCCCACCCACCCAGGATCTCCCCACTCGGCCGTTCCTCCTGGGACCCTCCTCCTTCGCCCCACCAGCTCGCCCTGGGAAGGAAGCAGGGAGTCACTGGCTGTGGGCATCCAGCTCTGACAACACTTCAGAGCCCCCAGACCCGGGCAGCTGACACGTTCAAGGCAGGCCAATGGCTGAATCCATTGTTCCCCAGCGTGGGGTGGCAGTGGAACCCCAGAGGTGCGCAGGAGGCGCAGGGAGTTCCGTTCTCCGCGAAGAGGAAGCCTGGGCTTGGTTTTAGTCTTGTCTTTAACACGTGTCCGTGGCCCTCAAGCAAAGAAAGTTCAGATCGGACTCTCCAACCTCTGCCGGGCCGACGGTTCTAATTCAGAAGCTCTGCCTTACTCCAGGTGGATTTTAATAGGAATCTATTTAGGGCAAATGACACTGGTCTTCCATTTATAGCAGTGACCTAAACTTTCCTTCCTAACCTGAGTCTAAAAAGTGAGTTAAAGGTAAAATATGAAGTGAGTAATTGTTCAGGTAGAGCATGAAGGTGACAAAGCGGGAAATGTGTCACCGTTTGAAGAGTGGAGTCACTGATGGTGGAACAGCAGGTCTGGTGACATGGGCAGGGGCTACTGGGAAGTGACCCCTCCAGTACCTCCAATGTGTCCCACCCCGTCCTTCACCGTGATCAGACCACCTGGTGCCTGCTGGTCTCGAGTGTCCTTCCCGGCCACCATGGGAGGGTCCTCAGCGTGAACCGTGTGTGTCTTCTCTGCCTCTGTTTTGCAGCTGGGGCAGTTGGGACCAAAGTGAGAACCCAAAGCCACAGCCCTAATGAAGGTCACCTCTGCCCCATGGGGGTCTACTCCCAGCATCCAGGTGTGACCGGCTGAGCGGGCATCTCTGATGCCACCCGAAGCCCTGTCCTGCCCCAGATCCCCCCAGTTCCTCTCTCAGGAGCTGACGTGGCCCGAGGTGTAGACCAGGATGTCTGTCCTCCTCTAGAGACACGTCAGGCCGGTGGCCTCCCAGGTGGCTGGAATTCTCACCCACAGCCAGCAGGCCCCAAGCCAGCCACCAAACACCAGCTCTCCAAGGAAGCCGCTGGCCACGTACATGATGGAGAAATGTCCTGTTTAGGGGTCTGGAAACCCAACGAGGACTTCACAGCACGTGACGATGACGTGGAACGCAGTTTGAGTGTCTGCAGGTTAAGCGCTGTCAGGACTCGGCCACCCGCACTGGTGGCATTTTGGCGGTGGCCGCCTTCGGCTGCCCTGGCAAAGTTCAGTACAGTGACCCAGACGCGGGCTGCCGTGGCTTTGTGTGACTGCTCAGCTCACTGCAGGCCACCGTGGCACAGCTAGGAGTTGACACAGGCGTGTCCCCCTTGGGCAGCCTCTTGGTTTCTTACCAGTGCACAGCCATCATGTCACAGCAAGGAACGTGCTTTGTTAAAAACTGTGATAAAATACAGGTAACGAATGTTCCATGGTCACCATTGTCAAGTGTGCAGTTCAGTGGCACCAGGTTCGATGCCGTGCACCCACGGCCACGGTCCATCCATCTATCTGGCAAAAAAAAAAAATCTATCTGGGCCCTTCAACTTCTACCACCCCCTTCTCCCCGTCACCGCCATTCTTGAACTTGACTGCTCCGGGCTCCCCATGTAGCGCCATTGGTCTATTTGTGACTATTTCTCGTAGCACAAGTGTCCTCGGGGTTCATTCACATTGTAGCAAGATTCCCTTCCTTCGAAAGGCTAAAGAGTTTTCTAGTCTGCACACACACTTTGTTTACCCATCCATGGCCAAATGGCACGGCTTTAAGGCGCGATAAGGGGTGCGTTACTTTGTCATCCAATTAGGCGCCAAGCTTCGTGCTCCTGTGCAACGCCTCTGTATCTGCCCTAAAGGTGACCAGGTAGCTTGGTCCACAAGGCCGACGTTTCTTAACCATCTGGCCATTTCTAGAACAAGCCAGCCGACCCCTGTTTTTATGTCATTGTGACCACACAGCAGCCAGGGGACTGCGTCAACATGGTCCAGTTTCAAACACGAACTGAAACGCTCCATCTTCCATCTGCCACCTTGTGTGACATGCTCTGTGAATGTGCCGCTGTTCCCTTGCCTTTGCCGTCCCAGCCCTGGAACAGGCCCACAACGCCCCAGCCCCCACCCAGCGCATCCTCTCTTGCAGCCAATCAGCAGCCCGTCATCCCTGAACTCGCTCCTCGTTGGTACCAGCCTGCGGGGAGTGGGCACGGGTGGGGGCAGGGAGGGCTCTGGTGCGTGCCCCCAGGCCTGCCCCTGCCTTCCGCCCGCCACCTTTCCTGAAATTGATCACAGACTCTCCAAATGACAGGCTCCGAGCCACCAGGCCCCTCGGCACGCGCGGATCGCGGGCTCGTGAGCTTGCCACCGCTTAGGCTTTGAGAAGCTCAGGAGGAAAGGGCTGCAGGGACTCGGACCCCAGTAAAGTTCACCTGAGGGGGACCTGGGGTGTCCAGTCCTGCAGAAGAAAACCCGGTCAAGCCCAGTGAGGCCCCGTCTCTAAGTACAAAATAGGACTGGGGATGGGGCTCAGTGGTCGAGTGCCCCCGAGGTCAATCCTCTTATCAAAAAACAGGGGGCGAGGGAGACACTCAACCGTTAAACTGGTGGAATCGCTTAACCTGGGTACCTAGAGCCTCGGCTCCTCAGGACAAGGACTGTCAGAGTTCTGGGGGCGGGAGCTTACAGGCGGCCTGCGCTCTCTTCCCACCCAGGGCATGAGCCCTGACCCCCGCCCAGCCTCCCCGCCTTCCTGACCCCTATCTGAGGACCTCACAGGCTGTGAGCTGCCTGCAGCTGCACCCTGTCCTCTGGCCCCTGGCAGGTGTCGGGGTCCCCCGCAGTGTGGCCCGCCTCCCATCCCCCTCTCCTTCAGTCCCGCCGAGAGCACCCCCAGGCTTCAAGTTGCTCGGGGGTCTCCTGTGTCCACTGGCCCTTCCTTTCTGTCCTCACCCCCCTCCTGTGGACAGGCTAGCCACTTGTCAAACGTCACCTCCACTGGGATGTGTCCCTTCCTTTCCCTGAGCAGTGGTCACAGCCCTGTGTCCACAGGGCCACTCACCTGCAAATCACAGCCGAGTGGCAAAGGGGGAGAACTAAAGGGCCCTGTAAGGCTGCTGCGGGTGGGCGGGGGGCGGGCGGGGGGCAGGACACGCCCCGCCGGGAGCCCCACGCGGGAGACGGGCTCCGAGAGCATGCGCTGGAGATCTCCAGGGCCTGCAGGCTCCAGGGTCCTGGCTGGTGGCACCGGGTGCCGTCCTCCACGGGCACCTACAGAAAAAACCACAGAGAGGAGCCGGAGCCCAGGAAGCAGAGGGGACGCAGCCCCCGGGGAGGCACCCGTCCAGGGCCACCAGGAGGAGGGTGGGCTGCGCCTGCCAGAACCCTCAGGTGGGGTTGGAAGATGAGGGTCCAGGGCTGAGTGACTGGAGGGACGGGGCCAGTGCAGGAATGAGGTCGCTTATCTAACCTGCTGGGGGTTACGATCTCTGCTCAGAGAGAAACTCGAGGAAAGCAAGCGAGGAAGAGCATCGTGCGTTTATGGATCACGTGGTGCTTGCTGGGTGCTGTGCGGAACATTCCACGTAGGCTGGTTCCGTCCACATCCAGGTCCTGTAGGGAGGCTGAAGTGGAGCAGACGAGCCAGGTGGACCTGGGTCCAAATCCCAGCTCTGCTGCTTCTGGCTGTGTGTTCTCAGGCAGGTTACTTCCCCTCTCTGAGCCTGTTTCCTCATCTGTAACTCGGTCAGGGGTCGGGGGTTAACAAGAGAATAGCACGCAGCATATTTAGTAGGAGGTGTGATGACACAGGAGCTTTCCTGGGAAAATGAAGACCCAAAGAAGCCGCTACACCTGGGTGGTTTTGTGCTTGGTTTCTCGGTAGGACGGAAGACAGGATAGTGGACAGGACGGGTGGGACAAAGCCAGAGTGGCCGTGGTGTGAAGCCCCGGGTGTACGTGCCACTTCCCCATACTGTGATCATGAGCAAGACACGAAATCAATTGTTGGACCTTACCTTCAGGCCCATGAATGACCTCTCTCCTGACCTGACAGGTCCCAGCAAGCTGACGTTCAACAGAGAGAGTCTTCTGTGACGGTGACTTCAGGGTGTGAGGCTTCATCCCTGTGTGGAGCGTGTTGAGCTTCACGTAGCAGAAACACTAACCCCAGCCCAGTAAATCAACAGAGATCTGTCACCAAAAGCAGAGAAGAAACAACCCGAGGTAGGTGAGGATTAGCATGCCAAGTGACCAACACAAAGGACAACGGGAAATACCCTCCCAGATCATATCTCTGGGGATGGAACCCGGGGGTGCGCTACCACTGACTCATTTCCCCGGCCCTTTTTATTTTTTTTATTTTGAAATGGGGCCTTGCGGAGTTGCTGAGGCTGGCCTCCAACTTGTGCCCCTCCTGCCTCAGCCTCCCCAGGTTGCTGGGATGACAGGCGTGCGCTCCCACACCTCCTTCCTTTCTCTTGATAAGATCATCTATGCTTCGCTTTGATCTGTCCTCAATTCCCGCCTGTGACCACATGGAGGACCCTCGTGGTCTGAGTGAGGTCTGCCTCCTGTTGGGAATCTCCCCGGACCCCTGCCCAGTGAGAGTTTGAGGAAGAGTGGAAAGTCGTGGGGAAACGATTGGACTCAGCCTGGGACACTTAGCAAGGTCCGCTCACAGAGAGTCCTCTCAGGGTCCTCCGCCTTCAGAGAGGAGGACACTCCTGTCCCCGGGGTACAGGGCGCCCCCCACACAAGGCTCTCAGGACCCACTTCAGAGCCCTCCTGGCCCCTGCCGTTTCCCAAATCCCTTCCACTCTCAGCAGGGACGTTGGGCTGCACCCTGTCAGCACTGGACGATTTTGACCCATAAAGACGGCCATCTCTTGTGGCTCCCCTCAAAGCCTCGGCTGTTCCCCAGAGCCAGCCCAGCCTGCAGCCCCTGGGGGCCCTGCCGACTGTCCACCGCGCTGCCCACGCCCCAGCTCACGGTTTTCTGCTCAAAGAAGAATCTGGAAGGTTCCACACAGAGGGTTGGGTCTTCCCCGATCCCGTGAGGGGTCCCACCTTCTTGGTGGCTGCCGGCCAGGAGGAGGAACGGGCTCAGGGTTGATGGCAGGTCCCTGCACGGATGGTGGGTCCCTTCGGATGCGCAAGGGCGAGCCGTCTCCGCACGTGGGACCCGCAGACAGACGTCGACGGATCCTGGCGGGCCTCTGCTGAGGGGCACCCATTAGGAGGTTGGTGATGGTGGAAACTGGGACCCTCAGGGGTGGGCCACCCAAGGAGTCCTCTAGGTCCAGGGACTCAGAGGCCGAGGGGGAGGAGGGAGACAGAAAGGAAGCCAGTCCTGTAACCAGCCAAAAGTGGAAGGCCAGCAGGAGGACCGGAGGTCCAGACCCGCTTCCCGCCCCAGAGAGGCACTTACAAACCCCGGGGGCCGCGTCTCCCAGCTCCTAACCCCGGGACCCGGAGCAGAGGGGACAAGGCTAAGTGGCATAGAATCGTCTCCGTTGGCCTCCGTGGCTGCTCACCCACTTCACGGCAACCCCTCTGTTCTGGCTGCTTCTCCACGCACACTCTGACCGAATTCAGAGGCTCCCCCCGCGCCCCGAGGCTCCCGGGCCTCTCGGGAAGAACGGCAGAGCCATCGCGGGAACTGGGGACAAAACACGCCCTCTGTGTGGAGGCCTTCCCAGGGCCGGACGCTAACGTCCACGGCTGGGATGAGGGACACTGTGGCTCTGTCCACCGAGGGTGCCCTGGGATCAGCCATATCCCGCGAGAGGGCCGCCCCTCCAGCGAGCAGCAGAGGTGGAGACGGAGAGATGGTGGCAGCGAACACGAGTCCACAAACCAAAGCCAAACTGGGAGGACCCCTCCAGTGTCCAGGAGACAGAGGTGGGCGCAGGCACGGATCAAAGGAAAACAGACAGACGACCTGATGCCACCCCCAACTGTCATGGAAACCGTGGCCAAGGGACAGGAGGCTTCAGGCCTTCCCTCCCAAGAAGGGACAGGGGCTAGAGGAAGAGTCACCACCAGACACATCCGCTCCGCAGTGGCCACCAGAGATGAGGGAGATCATGCACGCACTGGCTACAGTGACCCCAGTTCACCCCACCCGTGGTCCTGGCACGTCCCCTGGGGCCGCAAGAAAGCAGACGGAACCGGCGGGTGACAGTGGGTAACAGGGGATTAAGTAACACAGCCACAGCGCCCTGCGGGGAACCCCGACTGCACCAGACCTCGCTGACCCCCTCCTTGGCAGGGACACGGCCCTGAGAGTCCCCTCTGCCTCCACGGCGGAAGCCAACAGTGGACAATGTCCCCTCAGGGATGCCTCCAGAGCCCCACCGCGTGTCCCTGTGAGGTAGCACCAGATCCGGGAACCAGTCCCCACCTCCACTGGAAAAGCCACCCCGTCCTGCAGGTGACACTCGGTCCCCTCTGCGTCTGCCAGGGCTCAGGGAGGCTGCGCCCACGCGCTTGACTCACCCGCAAGGGAGAGGACGGGACGTGAACCCGACCAGGGGCAGGCCCCCGCTTATCAGAGAGGTGCTGGGTGTCGTCTGGTCGGGTGAGTTAGATCAGGGTGAGGCCTCGGGGTGAGATCAGGGTGAGGCCTCGGGTGACAGACAGCCGGGCGTGTCCTCTTCCCGTCACCCAGAGGCAAACGCAGCACTCTGTGGAGCTGCTGGGTTATGGGGGGCCTTCGTCCCCCGTGAGCCCAGTGACTGCGACCCCTGTGTGATTTGTGTAGGAGGGGACAGCGGGGGACTGGACCGGCTGGCACACTGAGGCATTAATCAGGACAAATGGACAGCAAAACAGGCCCGAGCCCTGGGGACACGAGACCCGTGGAAACCTGCTGGGCTTACCGCCCACGTCACTCTGGACGCCTGGGGACGGGTCTTGAAGAAGGACGACGGGATCTGGGTTCCTCTGTGTGGCTGCGAATTAAAGGAAGCAAAGAAAAGGAGGTGACCTTGAAGAGCCAGGGCAGATGGCTGTGCGACCTCAGGGGTCCAGCGAGGAGCCCGTGTGGGAGACCTGAGTCCCCCCCGGCTCAGTACGGAGTAAAAGGCCACTCAAGCCGCGTCCCGGGTGGCACACCACAGATGGGGCTTATGGCAGTGGGTGGAAGGACACAGACCCCCAGTAGACTTTGGTCACAGTTCGGAAGGGGGTAGAGGAACTTGGCCCACAGAGCCCGTCACCAAGGACACCCCAGTCGAGGTCATGGCCACCGACCCATCTGTGGATGGCTACAGCAAGCAGCCAGGGCCCCACGACCGGGGACAGCTCAGCTGGCAGCCACCGTGGGCGGGCAGCTCCGACAGCCAGGAACGGAGACCCCTCATCTCCAGCCGAGGACCGCAGCAGCGCCTGGGCCCGCCACACAGGAGCAGGAGGGGACGAAACGCCAGGAGCCACACCTCCACCTCAGGTCACCCCCCGCACTGATGGGTCAGCAGGAGGAGAGCCCGGCGTGGAGAGCCGTCGGGTCCCCTGGTGGTGGACGGAGGCTCCGCAGGCTGCAGAAGGACCAGGAATGGGCGGTCACTGCTCATGAAGGCCACGGATGGCACGCACACCGGCCATCCAGAGGACGTGGGTGGAGGACAACGGCAGGCCTGACGGGGAAGACAGGTGGCGCTGGGTCCAACCACAGTGTCACACGGTGTGGCACACGACTGCCCGTTGCCCTCCCGTTTCCAGGAAGTGACAAGACCTGAGGGAGCCCAGCACAGGAAATGGCCCCTCGGCCTCCTGACAGATTGAAGATGCGGGTGGAGAGACGAGGGGGGCCGCTCTGACGGGCTGGGACTGCCCGCCAGGGTGCCCCGTGTCCCTGCTGCCATCAGGAACCGTGTCGCCTGCTCTCGGCACCACCCACGATGACTGATGCCACGGAGGAGTGTACCCAACACGGCCGACCCCCTGCAGCGAGGGCAGAGAGACTCCCTCGAGGCGCTGACTTGGGGACACGGCTTGATGCAGGTGGTCCCAGCCAAAGCCCATCAGACGGCAGCTGTGAAGGGACTCATCCGGCCTAGCGCCACGGAGGGCACCCACAAGGGCCAGGGATCTCATGTCACAGGCCACGCCACACCTCAGCGGGCGCAAGACCAGGACACAGCGTGGACTCTCCAGCTGCCACCCAGCGCAGCAGGAGCTGAATGACTCTGCAGTCCCTGGGTTCACTTCGACATGAACTGGCCCTCCCCAGGGGGCAGCCACCGGGTTACAGAGACAGCTCTCCGCGGGTCCCCAGCATGGTCACGATAGCAGGACGACAGGCTCCGTGCCGAGCCCCTGAGAGACACGGCCAGTTCCACAGGGAGCTCCTTCCCTCCGTCCAGTGCTTTCCCTCCTCCCTGGACATGCGGCCCTCTGGACGGCCCACCTACCTCCCCACGGGACAGGATGGTGGACGTGGGGATGGCCTCAGGTCCCAGCCCCAGTTCTGTCCCCCTCACCACGGCTTACCATGAGAAAGGTGGCATCCCCAAACAGATGGCACTGGAGACGGTCACCACTGCCCAAGGCAGAGTGTGTGTGGTCTTGGGGACAGAGGACGCGTCTGCCTGACAAGGCGCACAGGGACACAGCCTCCCGGGCTCCGGGTCGGTGCTACCAGTGGGGACTTCCTTTCCTCCCTCCTGGTGCCGCGTTTCCTCTGCTATTTTAGTGACTGGCGCGGGTGGCGCCTGCCCTTGGTGTGGCTGCTGTGATGTGGTGGCAGGGTGCCTGAAGAGCTCCCCAGGGGACATGGGGTGGCACGAGACTGAGGGGCAGGCAGGTGGTGTGTCGGGTAAACGCCGTCAGTTCCTGAAGGCGAGGAGAGGACTCCCAGGACCCTGTTAGGCGGCAGGAGGGACCGGCCCCTTCCCTCACCCCCGACTTCAGGGGCAGAATGGCCTTGGCTGTGAGGTAGAGCCGCGTATCAAACCACCGGAGGACAGCCACACGCACAGAGGTCACAGAGGTCGTGCCGCCTGCTCTGTGGATAGTTCTCCTGCTGGTGGGGTCGGTGCAGCCCTCCAGGTTGTCCCTGCCGCCCCCAAAGAGGGGCGTGTGAGCAACAAAATGTCCAAACCCTGTCCCTTGAGCCCCCACGTTCTCTCTCTGGGATCAGTGAACAGTACACTGGGTCCTCCTTTCCCCATGGCGCCTCCTTCCCACCGGGCGGAGAGCAGAATCGTGTTGCTGCAGCCGGACCTGGGGCCGAGGCAGCCCAGCCCATCCCATCAGGAGACCCTCCATGCCCCACCTGCCCCCTGAAGTGTCCTGCTGCCCCAGACACCATCGGCTGAGAGACACGTGACAGTGGCAGCCTGGCAAGGGACAGGGGCAGCACAGGGGACAGCAGAGACCCCTGGCAGCACAGGAGTCGGGGAGAGCGGGCCTGGCCAGAGCTGGCTGCGGCCTTTCCCAGACTCAGCCCCTCTCCATACCCAGACTCAGCCCCTCTCCGTACCCAGACTCAGCCCCTCTCCATACCCAGACTCAGCCCCCTGTCCAGTACCCAGACTCAGCCCCTCTCCAGTACCCAGACTCAGCCCCTCTCCAGTACCAGTGTGTGACTCTGTCTTTGCGTGGGAGATGGCAGGAGCCAGGTGCATGGCCACGTGCACCTGTGTTGGCCCAAGTGTGGCCCCGTGGGGGGGGTGCGGGCGTGGGAGGTTGACAGGTTTGCTTTTCGTGCGTGTGTTCACGTGTCAGTGTGGGGTGCAGGTGTAAGGGACACCAAGGTGACTGAGCTGCACCCCTGGAGCACAGGTCCTGGGGCCAGAAGGCTCTTGTAAGGGAAATCCACACTCATGAGGGACAGTCCATCAGTAAAGATGCCCCAGGCCCAGGACAGAGCTGTCCCAGAGACCACCTCACCGCCAGCCCTGCCCACCCGGTGCCTCCTCCCTTGCCAAGAGGCCCAGGCCCTTTCCCTCCGTGGACACCAAGCCCCTGGCCGCCCTCTGAGCCGCACACCGTGGGGGCCACCCTGTGCCTCACAAGGTCCCGTCACCCCCGTGCATCCCATCCCGTGGTCTGCCTCTGGCCAGTCTCCTTTGCAGGGCGGCAGCCAGAAAACCTAGGCTGGGTGGAGGAGGGCCACACACACACCCCGCCCCCTCTGCCGCTCTGGGTGAGGCTCGCCCTGCTGGGGGTACAAAAGGCTGGCCGTCTGCAGGACGCTCCCTTCCTGGACTGAACAGGCC